TGTTATTTTTTGGCCTCAGCATCTCAAAAATAAGTGACAGAAGACAATACACGTCCTCCAGAGTAATTACTTCACCAAATTTTGTTTAGCAGAAGTCCAAACCAAAATAATGACTTCATTTAATTGCAATATGGGTAACATTAGAAACATCAGCTTTACAGTTCACTGAGGGAAGTATCTCATTAACATGCACTGGTCCTCCAAGTGAGAGCCTCATCAGCCCTGAAGAACGCAAACTTTCCCATCAGCTGAGCTACAAAGACACTTGGATGCACCTGCTGTGAGAATCTTCTGGTGGAACCAAAGCACTGCTTCAGATCACACCCGTGAACATTGTGAGTGTGTTCAAGGAGTTCCAACCTGCTCCTGGTCAGCTGCTTTGAGAGGGCATTGGGCTTGTTGACCTCTGAGATGGCTGCTAGCCCCAGCTATGTGCTGAGCTGTGAGTGGTCCTTACAGAATGACAGACATTTGCTGGTGGTGCTGCATTCTCCTTAATATAGGAGAGGACTAAAAAGCTGCAGATTCTTTCCTCTGGGTTTTTGCAGTAGGGTTTGATTGGGAGAAATAAGAATATTTTTAAGGTAATTGTCTCTAATCAATTCTAGAATTACTTATTTCTTCTACATGGGATACTGTGGTAGGGTTGTGCTGTTACATTTTTGCTATTTCTGTGCAACTCATCTGAAAACAAGCCAACCCAGTATGGCTAAAATAGCATCTCTAGGGTGAAGATAATTTTAGCATCCTCTAACAGAATACTTCTGATTGAAAACACAACTATGCATTTAGTTATAAACATTCCATGATCTTAACCTTCACAAAAGTCTTCTGGCTTTCAGTGCTCAGCCCTGTCACATCCTTCTTGTGCTGAAATCCATTTGAATGTCCTTCATCTCTCATTCCTATGCCATGGACTTTGCAGTTCATACATGTAAAACACCACACTGAGGCTGGAGTGCTACCAGACATAAGCACGTGCAGTTCTGCAGATCGATGCTCACAGAAACACTGTTGGAGAAGGGTTTGCAGCTAGCCCAAACCCAATCCAGCTCAAAGCCAACATCTCCTGTCTATCTTACAATATAGCATTTTGGCAGCCCATCAGATAACCCAACACATCCCCCCCGTGTCAGCATAACCAAGGGGAGGCCCCTTGAATCTATCATGCAAACCACCAACTCAAATCTCAAGTCAGCATTTCCTATTACCCTTATTTTTAAGCTTATGAAACCCCATGTAGAAAGCATAAGATGGGGTCATTTTGCTAAATAAAACAGACTGTATGCAACTGGCTGACTTACCTTTAAAAAATATCAACATATCTGAATATTTTGTGTTTTCACATTTGTCTCTTTTCCACTGAATTTTTTAAACACCTTGTAAGATAAAACATCGCGCTTTATTTTGTGATCCTCTTGAAATACACACAGTTCAGCTGTCACTCAGAGGCAGCGTCTTGACAGTTCAAAGATGTTATTACAGTCAGTTGTGGGAAAAAAATGGTCTTAGACTGACAACTAGTATTTTCAAGATGTTTGAAGTGAGGGAAAAATTAATTCCTTAGTCTCTCAGTTGGCACAATCAATTCATCATCTTTCACGTTGTGGCGAAAATTATGGGTATTTTAGCTCGGATGTATTGTATTGCAGCATATAAATAATTTAGTGAAAAGTAGCTATCAAATTCCAGATTCTGCGTTGTGCTGTAATTGAATAATCAGCATATTCTCAATAAGTGCAAGTGAGTTTCCTACCTTTTACTCCTCCCTGTCGGGAACAACTAAACCGAGCACAGAAATTCAGCTGCCATTTGGAAAGATGAATGAGTTTTTCCACTTCATATTAGACGAAGTTAAAATATAAATCTGTTTGTACAAAATACAAACAAAATACAAAGAATACCCTTAATTCAATTACAAAATGTAGCAATTGGCTAAAATTAATAAGCTAATAAAAAAACCTTCAGCTTGACTGTTATTTTCTTCCATGTGTTGAAGAAGTATCAGTATCCTGGAGTAAAATAGCTATCTCTGACTGTGCTCAGCCTGCCACTCTTTAGAAAAACTTGCACATTCTTCCTCGTCCATGTCCACAGTGATCAAAGAAGTTATTCCAGTACAACTATGGAGCTTTTCCCACCTATTGTTGCAGTTACAAAATGGCTTAAAATTTTGTTTACTTCTGCTATAGCACACAGTGCTTTTGCATTTGGTGGTTTAGCTGCCTCTCCTCTGTTATTCTCCAAACACAGTTCATTCATTACAGGTGAAATGAATCACAGTGTTCTAAGGTGTCAGATCCTCAAGGGCATTTTTAGTTTTCACTCTGATTATTACCAGTGCAATGCAAAAACAGAGTTTAAACTTTGAAGGATAGTGAATAAAAAATACAAAGATGAATTGGTTGATTACCACACATCCTTGAGTTCTTGTAGACAAGAATTGAGACTTAGGACCACAGAAGAACATGGCAGATAAACTTTTGCTGCCCAAGACTGTTTTAGTGGAGCAGCCTTTAGATCACACATTAGTCTCATAGGCAATGACACACAGACTGAATTCACTGCTGTGAGGGATACCCACCAACAATACTTGCAAGTTTCCTTCTCAGCGTAGTCACTCGTAGCTTATTGTCAATACAGGCAAGTAGCTTTCCACAGTGAAATATGACTGGTACAGCTTATTACTTTAATTAATTATCTGGATGAGGGGATAGAGAATGCATTTTTAATCGGTAGATAACAGAAAGCAGAAGAGATTTGCAAGTATTCTGGAAGGCAAACTTGGAATTTAAAACCACCTTCAAAATGCAGGTAAATGTTATTAAATGAGTGGACTACAGGTTCAGTAAGACCAACTGGAAAGTGGTGGAGATTTATAGAAACAATGAACTGCATAAATACAAGATTGGACATAAATAGCAAAAGAGCAGATTTGTGGCCTGGATTCAGTACTGATTGCACAGTCTGCTACTGCAGCCAAGTCTCTTGTGGGGATAGATAGCAGCATGTTGTGTACAACCTGCAAGATGATATTCTCCAGCAGAAGACTTGATCCAGCAGTGGGCACTACAAGGCAACAGTGAATCTGAATGGAACGAATATGAAGAGCAACAATATAGATTTAGAAAAGCTCATCCACAAGAAAAGACCTGGAAAATCCGAGGATGGATCTCATGTTCAAGGATGAAAACACTGCAGGGATAACGTGGCTGCTGCAAACAAATTGTTCTCAATGCCTGTGGGAACAGGACACACAGTAATGGACTCAAATAGCAGCAAGGAAGGTTGTGATAGCCACTGAAGTGAACTACAGTTCACTCTGAAAAGTGTATATAATTAAAAGGATGGCATAAAGTGTTACAGAATCACAGCAACTGGCAAATCGGTTCTAGCAGATCGTTCCCATGTGCTTGCATTTTATGCTCTCAAATGTTGTGATTAGTAGCATTTTTTTCCTCATCATGATGGCTGAGCCATACAGAGTTACATCAAAGGAAGATCATCACTCCCTTCTGAAATTGTAAGCTGTAAAGCTTTGGTTTCTGAAGAGCAACCTTCTTTCTTCTGCATAGTTTCATCAAATCAATAGGGCTCCCTTTAATATGTAGAAAGCAATTTTCTTTTTGAAGTTTTATTCTGCAATGCAATTTTTTCCACTATTTCCATCAAATAGCATAAAAGGCACCAATCAATTAAAAAAAAAGAAAGGTGACTATTTGGCCAGGTGAAATAAAATCCTGCTTTCTTGGAGCAGTACAATTCATTGACAAAAAATAATTCTGCATGTTGGAAATGCCAAATATCTTTTGAAGCCTCTGAAGACAAAAATAGAGGAGTTTTCACAATTTGAATAAAAAGCTGCCCATAGTCCAAAATGCTTCAGAAATGAACAGCAGTAATTACAAATTTCATTAAATGTCAGTTCTAGCTTGGTTTTAAACCCTAGCTTACCTTAGTTCTGCAAAAGGGTTTATATAGATTACTGCACTACCCACTCTATAGGCTGTATGCCCTAAAAAAATAAATGCATGTCCACAAAGTAAATCACAGCATTCGTTTGTTGGCAAATGAATGCATAAAGAGAACAGTTTACACCAGAAGGATCAAAGTCAAAGCCTTTATTAAATGTTCCTTCTTTAAACAGACTGCATTTAATTCCCCCCTTGTATTTGTGATTTCTAAGGCTGTTTTAAATACTGTGTTTTACAGGGATTTTCAGTCTTCAGAACCGTCACAAGCAGCAAGTTAGCAGTACGCAAAAACAATTCTGGCTTCACAGGGTCTCTGGAAAAAACAACAGTACTTCCAAGACTGGAGTTTTGGCACAGACCCTGGAAAACAAGTAGATTTCACCAGAGTTTAAGCCTGATGTGCTCTAGCCACATCTCACAATTGGCCACAATTTATCAGTATAGATTAGTATATCTGTTTCTTGCGCGTTAACTATTTCAAAAAGGGGACCAAATTTTCAAATTTCAGCTAAAGTGGGTCCTAATTAAGGCTATTCTGGTATATTTGATACTAAAATACTCTCTGGGAGTCCTTTTCATGAAATCCCATCAGAATTAACATTTTCAAAAATGAAAACATTTAAAGTAGGTGTTTTGAGTTGAAATGCTGATGCAGCGGTTGGGTCAGTGTTGTTTTGCCTTCGGGAGCTCGATTATCACGTCAGTATAGTGTCATCTATCTGTTCTTCAGAGTCAGCCTGGCCAGCCAGCTTCTTAAGAGATCTCCTGCAGCTTTCGTTGAGAAGCTCCAAGCTGGCAGCATCTAAAATCTTGGAAACAGACTGTGGAAGGAAGAAAACACCAAATTATGGATTCCTTATGATATGCCGTTCAAAATCAGAACAGGTTTAAGTGCCTTATGAGGTGTATTTATCTGCATCTTCAAATATACCCAAAGCCTTCATCTGGTTTTAGGATTCCAGACCAAACCAGCTAAGGGCTTAGAAGAGAGGTCTGGTTTAGCATTAAATGTGGAGGTTGGTGGCCCTGCATGTGGCAGGGGGTTTGGAGATTCATGATCCTTGAGGTCCCTTCCAACCCTGGCCGTTCTGTGATTCTGTCTGGATATGGATGTACAAAGGAGTATTCCATCCATCCCAAATATACTCTCCAGTACTGATGCTGCAATAGGATTATAAAAGTGACAAAAGCAATAAACTACCCTTCCTAGCTAAGGCAACTACAGCACAATATGGCTTCAGGCATTAAACACAGAGAACACATTAAATACCTTGACTGCAATAATACCACACTGTATGGCTGTGCAGTATCACATAACTTCCATACTTCTCCAGAGCTTACCATAAGAATACTAATGAAGGCTTAAATGCAAACAGGAACATCCCACTCCACCTATTTCATAAGAGACTGCCAGCATGTTCTGAGACTCCAGACAAACACTTAAACGTAAGCAGAGCTATGTGACACAGCCTACTACCAATGGTTATGTTTTCTTCTGTCTCATACCTCAAGCACTTGTTCACCCGCTCTCATCTTCAGCAGATTAACAATGGCTTGGTCGCTGTAAGCTCTGACACTGGTGTTTTTGTCTTTTGTGTTGTCCAGAAGTGCCTTCAGAATGGGCTTAATTGTCTGAGGATCCAGTGCAGGAAGATGGTTTTTATTTGCCCACCAGATCATTTTTTCTGCCACTAACTTTATGTCACTGGATGAGTTCTGGAGACACTGAAGAAGACAAAAATGGTTTTAAGTTTAGATATACCAAGGACCAGGTATTGAAAGCACAAGTCTACCTTTTTTTCCTAACTTAAGTATTGTTAACTGCAACAGGAAAGACAAGTAGCCTTCAATTCACAGAGCGAAACATCATCAACAAGTTTGATTAAACTTATGTATAACAGTAAGAGTGGATGAAACCTTGAAAACAAGACATCTATTCAAAAGAAAACAAAAATGGTTGGTGACAGAGGTACAGACTATGGGAAATGACAGGGACATCTAACTGCAGCAAAAGCTGACAGTACCTCTGGTAAAACACACCCAGTCAGCAGCAACAGCAAAGTCACTGGTCAGCTACATTTCAACAGTGTATTTCATTTTAATATAAAAAAATTTAGGGATGCTTACTTTTGATTTAATCTCAAGGCATCGGAACATGAAAACCAATACCCAAATGTCAACTGCATTATTAATATTGTGATAAAGGTATTGTGACAAATGTGGTACTCATTTTATATTTAAACAGAATGCTATGATACAAATAAATATGTTTCAGCAAAAAGTCTGCTTTGAAAAACAACAGACTCCATGTTGACTTGCATTTATGATGGATTTTCAAGTAAATTTAGAAGAAATTTAAAATGTGAAACGTAATACGTTTATATTTACAATAACAATGACAGATAAGTTAAAAGGCAGCAGCTCACTCACTCCACCACTACCCCTCAACTCTGTCTTCCCTTATCTTTTCTAAGACATTGAAAACACTCTCATGTTCAAAATTCAGATTCTTCCTGCCCTGAGGGATACTTTCATGGGGAAAAAAATAGAGAACAATAGAGAAAGAAAGGGATTTTTAAGTAGATTTTCAAATAGATATCGTTTGAAAAGGAAAGAGCACTAACGGCAATATTCTTTCCATCCAGGCTCTAGGAGCTACTCCCATTCGAAAGAATAGAACTCAGAAAGTACTGATGCAAAACCAGAGAAGGTAAGGAGTTGGCATTCAACAGCTTTCTGACAAAGCCCCTTTGATCTTCATCAGATTTTAAAAACAAACTGACATCTGCCCCCCTCCATGCTTTTCCTCCCATCTCTGTCAGCTGCTTGTTACTGCAGAGGAAAACAATTATTCACACTGAATCAAAGTTTACCACAGAGCCAGTCAGATTTCCACATTACAACATCCCTGGGATGGAGGTACTGTGTTCACAGCTGCAAAGCAGGCTTGTAAAATTATTCCATCTGCTTTAGAACAAAAAAGACTTGTATAGATTTCCAACTGTCAAAGGATTTACAGCTTCCTAAAAATAAGGCAACTGAGGTTTCAGCCTTTGTGCTGGGTTACAATGTATTATTACAAAGAAAACCACCATCAATTAGCTGAAATTGACTGTATTACACTGGTTAAGATCAGAGGAAAACAATGGCAGGTAACATAGAAATTCTTACCTTAATAAAGAGGTTGGAAAGTTTTGGAGGCAGGTTCCCTCCTTCTTCCATATGGTATTTCATAAGAAAGCCCATCCCTCTGATGCCACTAACTGCAATGGGTATCTTCAATGTAAAAACAGAAATTTGATATGATTGATGTTATTACAGTACACTTCAACAGTCTTTATAACTAGCCCACAGTCACATGGACTGGTGAGCTTTTGCAAAAGGCTGAACATATCTGTCAAAGAACTGCAGCGTGCAATGCATGAAAACAAGGTAATGCTATTGGACAGAGGATGAAAAATCATGACTGAGCCACACGGAACAACACGACAGGCCCCACAGAGCCCACAAGTTCCCTACGCTATGTTATTCATTCAACTCTGTTTTTCAAGTCTTCCTTCTGAATTGAAGTATTTGTTCATCTTGTAAACCTGGCCTGTGAATGAGAACTTTAATAGGGCAACAGAAGTGGAATTTGTTCCCAGTGAAAGTTACTCTACCATTAAGGATTAAATAATCTTCATCTTGACAGAGATCAGCAGTAAAGGAATCAGAATCACAATCATGCAGTTTCACTACAAAACTGCATCTAGTCAAGGAAGAACATTCAGAATACATTTTTATTCCGATTTTATTTTTTATTTTAACTTTTTGTAACACTCTGAGCCTTTTATAACTACTCCCACAAGCACTTGAATAGAACTTGCATTTCCTTAGGCAGCACTTACCCTGTCAGCAATGGCATTGCTGAGGATCATCTCCAGCACACTGTTATAGTACTTAGGGGAACACAGCCTATAAGGAGCAACATTTACAGCCACTGAGAGGGCCAGGCTTCGTCCATGTCTCACCATCCAGTCAATTCCAGAGATGTCTGCTAAAAGGCAAAAAGAACTACCTCTAAGAAAGGCTACTGTATCCAGCTGAGAAAGCATTTGTCAGTTTGTCAACTTGCTTCTATAAAAGCAGCACTTAAAGCAGCATCTTTCTCCTTCCAAAAGAGAGATATAAACTGTACTATAACACAATGTCTCTATCAGAGAGGAATTCTCTCTGGGCAGATATTGAAACCCAACACACTGACTTTATACCATTGAAGTGGGTTTTTCTGATGATACATGTAATCACACCCACATCACTTAGTGATGAAGAAGCTTGCTATTACAATTACATAAGCTGTGACACCAATTCAATTGTAAAAGTAATCTGTAATTTGAAATCAGCTAGTAGATTCCCTTTGTAATTCCACAGAGCACTGTAACACTCCCAACCACTGCAAGTTCCTACAAAATTCATGCTTCTGACTAACTAACAGGCTCAGTTAATTCTCCAAAAGCATTTGAAGTCATTGGATGTGGTCTGCAATAGTCATAAGCCAATTTGTGATCACAGTGTCATCAAATAAAGTGGAACAGCCCTCCCCCCATGCTGCCTGAATGCACTGTCACCTCCCATTCACTGTGCATCAGCACTAAGGAACTGCTCAGCCATGCTGGTACTTGCATCAACTCACCTGAACACAAATCCACAAAAAATATGGGAAACCAAAGTTATAATTGTCACCTTGTGCTCAGTGATGTACCAGAGTGTAAGAGCAGCCACGAGCAAAGAAAAGTACAAGGAAATCTAGAGATTTGTTTAAAATAAAGAGGAGGAACCTGAATAGTCACAATTTTCACAAACTACTGGCTAAGAACATATCTTCCCCTGCTTTTCAGACTTAGTTCTAGTCACTGTAGCTTCACCTACCCAATAGGTGCTGGTGGAGAACAGTATTAAGCTCCTCTTCTGACAGAAATGCACACAGTTCTGCTAAGCAGCCAGCTGAAGCCATGCGGGTGGCATCCTGAGGAAAAGAAGGAAAGAGCAACACTGCTTGAGCTCAATCCACATCAGAGACAAGCATAAGAGGGACAAGGGACAAAAATATGAAATAAAAAGAGGAGGGGGAAAAAAAAAGTATTAGCAGAAACTCTTTGCCTCCTGCTAAGTGTGGATTTCTGTCATTTTGTAAGGTTTGTTGTACGTGACAGAAGCCTCACATCCAGTCAAAAAAAGCCAGCAGAGATTGTAAAATTACAGGTCTCATACAAACTGTGACTTGTTAAATGGGAAAGTTATAAAGACAAAAGTGAGTATTTTAAAAGATATGTCGAGTTACCTTTTGACTCACAGTCTAGAAAACAAACATTACTTCTAGCCATCTCTGCATAAGCTTATTGCTGTGGTAAGATTTTAGTTTTAAGCTTCCATACTCCTGTTTGTTTGGTTCTGCAACTATAAATATCTGCACTTCTCTACCCTAAAACTTAAAATCCAATAGGAATTGTTCAATTGCTCTATTTCTGTCATGCTAACAGCTGTATGTCTGTGTTGCACATACTGAAACATAAAGACATTACCTGATTATTTAATCTCACAGATGAGACTGTTGCTATCTGCCACATACAGATCACACATTCAACTTAGGAGAGTTTCTAGTTCACTAGAGAAAAATCTGTTACAAAAAAAAATTCCTCACACCTAATGATAAACCCCACCTGAGAGCCTGCAAACACACAGATGTGCTTATAGAGAAGGTGCTGTGGGTTCTCTCTGAGATAAAAAAGCATATCCTGACTTCAGAGCTGTCTCAAGCATGTTGGAGAGGAACTGCAAATCCACCTTTGTGGTTGCTAAGGAAACATTAAACTCACAGGCTTTCTGAGTTAGAAGTAATTGGCTGGGGAGCTCTAGCTCAGTTAACAGGGCTCCAGTGAAATCAGTTTACAGACCACATTCAGTTTACCAAGCGATGTCCAACTGCAGTGTTTCTTTAGAACAGTTTCTTTCCACTCTAACAGTAACAATTTGCCCTGGAAGATTATTCTAGAAAATAATTTTCTTAGTTGTGATTTTAAATTTAGAAATCAGACTATCTCAGCAGGCATCCTTTACAGCTGAAGCAATACCTCATCATGTCCCAGCATCCCAAGAAGCACCGTGCTGATGTTCTTCCTAATTGTGGCATCTACTTTTGCACCAGCTCCTCGTGTTACAAACCGCAGTGCTTGCAGCATCGTGTCCCTAGAAGTGATCACAACATACAGTCAGAGATTGCCTTTTCCATCACCCCAAAGAAGAAGATGAGGTCTGGACACCTGTAAGAATTTCTTACACAGCTATCAGATTAATATGCCTTACAATTTAGGAAACCCGGACTCTCTCCACTGATGAAAACCCATGCTTCATGGGTTCATTCCATGTTTGCATACTTGTGTCTCTCTCTTACAAATTTAGTATCTTCTGACTATTCAAAGATTAAAATTAAAAAAAAAAACAAAACAAAACAAGAAATTAATTTCTCAGGAATCTGTATGTATAAGTTACAAAAACAGCTGCATTAATTCAGGTCAAAGTGAAAACTGATACAGTCTTGTACTTGAAAGTGGGTTGCAGTGGGTTTAGAGACTGAAGAAGAAAGAAGAACTGGGCATATGCCAGGCAACACCTCTCCTGATAAGATGTATCAGAGCGCAGCTTTGGACCCTCTATGTCCCTATCATCCACATTATTGGCTTTATGACCCTTCATTAACAGTAAATAAGTCTTACTGTCTAAATCAAGGGGGGGGAAAGAAAATTATCTCAAATTGCTGTACAGCGTATTAATCCTAGCCCCTTATTCTTAATAAGCAGTAAGGCCTGAGATTCCACCTACTGCTTACCTGATGGCAGAGTCATCACTGGAACGAATTCCATTCAGAAGCTCAGTAAAAAGAGGATCCACTTTTACATGGATAACAATAAGTTTACCAAGAGCATCAGCAGCTTTAAGGCGAACAGCACGGTTTGAATCTTGCAGAGCTTTGGTGAAGGTTGTTTGCAGTTGAGGCAAAAATGGTTTCAGGGCTATCTCAACCTTTAACAGAGATAAAAGAAGAAGAAGTGATGGAGTTGAGAATGTAACCGTGGCTAGAAATCAAAGCCTGCTGAACAGCCTGACTTGTGTAACAGTTAATTATCACAGTGCCAAATAGCCTTTACTCAGATCTAACACACTACTGAAACGGGAAAAACACAAAATGTTTGTGTTTTCACAACAAAACATTTATCCTTTTCCAATCAAATTCTGTTTTCTGCAGATGAAGCACAAGAAAGATTCTACATCATCATGGATGTTCTTTCCTATACAGAGCACTAAATAAAAGCCCAGCTCAGTTCAGATGTGTAAGATGATTATCTTTGGACTTTTGGCACAAAAAGCATGGACGCAGAAAAGAAATTAACTACCTGGCAGTTGTCAATCACATGAAAGTGAGATGAGCACTCAGCAGTATTTCTAAGAGGTCCAGTGACTCGGTTGTTGGGAGAATACAATCCAGCTTCACTGCCATTCTAGATTTTAGATCTACACTAGCTGATATTCTAGCTATATTAAAATGAACAGCAACAGATTTTCTGAAGGCAACTGTACAGTCTACAGGCAACTACAGTCAATTACTTTGAATCTTACCTTGGCTAAAAGAAGACTTAATGTTTCAAGCAGAGCCACTTTGACATTCCAGCTGAACCGATCTCCCAAGATACGAATAAGTGGTCCAGTAATGCTCACTACAGATGGTTTAAGAGCTTCCGCAGAAGTCAGCTTAATAACCAGCCCCAAGGCCTTTGCTGCTTCCTCCTTTTGCTCCGGATTACCAGTTAGAACACCTTCACGCAGCACCAGAAGTATAGAGGTCACTCCCTGTCATAACAATTAGATAAGCAAGCTTAGAAGCTAAAATGCAAAAAATACATATTTTATTTTTGCTCCTGTTATATACCAGCTGAACAGACTTAGACAGTTTCTCTCAATTTCCTGTTGACCTTCAGCTGCCTGCTTCCACATTTACAAAGCTACTTTTATTCAATTTGCTTTAATGCATCTATGCCTTAGAAAGCCAGTTGCTATGAGGAAAGTGCTGGTGGATAAGGGAATTTTTAAACCATAGAAATTTGGCACAGGAGTCCAACATTACACCTCCACAAAAGCAGCAAGTAGGACTTCCAGGCATAATAGAATTGTCAAAGATCTTGTCACAGGGTAATTCAAAAGCACCAGTAACCTACAAAAAGCCTCTTTAACATAGGAGTTTAAAATGCTACATTTTCAGTATTTCTAATACCATAACATAGTATCAATCAGCTTCCCCCAAAAATGAGATAGGATGGTTGTGATCGAGTCCATTTTCGCACCACGTGCTCATTTTGATGCTTTACCTTCTTAGGAATACAAAATCCTGGCACGTGCTCGCCTTTGGCCTCGTTCCCTACAACCCGGATGTCCTTGTGTAGGTCCTCAATGAGAGCAAGCTGGTTCCCAGCATCTAATTTCTGTAAGAGAGAGAGGCAAGACAAAGATGAAGTAATATCACAACTGACAGTTCCTTCTGAGTTCTCAGGTGCACCATGAGAAGATTCTTGTTTTCCACCCCTCCCATAGACCTAACTGTTCACTGACAATGCTGATGCCAAGCTCACCTTACATCTCAAATCTTTGCAGCATTTGCCAACGTAAATGTAGTTTAAACAGGAGATTCAATTTAGACCGTATTTTACCAGTTATCTTCACTTTCTCCTTGCCAACCACTACCACTATAAACTTTTGAAGCTGCCTCTTACCTTGGTGATGGAATTAAGTGCATCCCAGCTTTCATTCAAAACTACAGGATTGGTATCATTAAATAAACGTATCAAGCCTGAAACCAAGTTCTTGAGATGACCAGTATAGTCCGCTTTTGTCTTGGAGCAGTAGATATTCAGCATGATAGCTGCTGCTTGTCTCATTCCCAGGTCAGGGCTGCGGGTAGCTTCTAGTAAATCTTCAGTTATAATTCTTTGTCCAACATCATCTTCCACAGAAAGGATTACAGACTGGCAATTTGCCATTTCCTAAAGAGTCCAAATTAATTTTACATTAACTCTCAAGTAGAATAAAACCAGAGTTAGCCCTAGGTTTGCCCATGTTACCCAGAACATCATCTCTAAGAGAAAAGATACAACATACACAATGTATACCGCTTGCTAATCGTTTCCTTTGGAATAGCTGGTTGTAATGCCATCAAAGGTTTAATTCAGAACCATTTTCTTACTGCTACCTCCATCCTTATGCTTACTTAGTAACAAATGTCAGGGGAAAAAAAGCCCCAAAAATGTTATGAATGGGTCACCAGTCCAGGAGGAGAGAGAAGGACATAATCAACTCTCAACATTCAACAAATGACCTGAAAAGTTGCACAGGTAGCTTTACAGCTACAGAAGGGCTAAATTCCAAAAATGAGAGTAGCTCGGTCTGCCCAGTCTTACTCACCCTCAGAGACCATGGGTCTTATCAGGTAAGGCTTTTTTTCAATTTAGGTAGTTCAAGTCTTTGTGTCATAATACTAATTGCAAGTACAGCTGTAGGTATATTAGAAGCAAACTCAGGGCTAGAAGCTGAGCAGATGGGCATCTGTAGCAGACAGGACTCTATCCACAACACTCTCAATTCACCAGCCTGTGTACATCTATATGCAATCACAGCTCAAGGATGTTCTCTGGAGTCCAAACAACAGATGTTTCTGAAAGTAGTTCAGAAGGAGCACTGCACGCAAAACAGGAGATTTTCTCCTTTCAGCCCTTTAATCTCTCAGTCTTATTTCCCACTAATGCATACAAACTTAACTGGACACTCTGACAGTTTCCGAAGAATAAGTAAACCGAGAATTGTATCTTGTTTAGGCCAAAGAGACTTCTTTAAGGATGCAAATGGATTTGGAAAGCATATTTTTTTCAACTCTCAACATGTCACCATGCAAGAAGACTGCCTGAAGAAGTTAGTGGACAGAATTAAAACACACAGCCTGTATATCTAGGGAATACAGACTCAGTGCTGAGAGGTAAACCCAAACTATCTTCAGGCAGCCTGTCATAGCAGAGAGTTGAACCACGCTACTTGCCAGTTGCTCTTCACTAGTCCCCAGCTTCTCTTTCAATGCAGACATCATAGCAGGCAGGATGACGCTCAAGTGCCTTGTCAGAGCATCCCCTGCTACTGATGAGAGGAAAGCTAGCACACGGGTGTTCACAGGGGGAGTAGTCAGCTAAAAAGCAAAACCAAACAAAAACAGAAATGAGACAAGCAGAAAATTTCTTCAGGAGGAATCTCAGGTCATTTATAACATGAAAATTTTTAAGTATGAGTGCACCACAATGACAGAGTTTTGAGCACAGAAATATTTTGGCAGACTGCTCCAAAGAAGACTGGCAGCAAACACAGGAAAAAGCACAGCTTAAAAAAAAAAAAAAAAAAGTTTAGAATTTGTTTCCAGTTGTACCTTTGGCACCAAATAAGGCAGTACCACACGGCTCTTGACAGCCATAACTTGTTTAAGACCATCCACAGCAAAGTCAGATGTCTCCTCATTATCCTACAGAGAGAGAGAACATGAAAACATAGGACATGATTTGTGACATACCCGGTTAATCCCCTCTTTCAGGTCACAATTCACCTCATGATCATGCAACCAACACTCACACAGGTTCTGCTACATAAAATCACTCTCACACTACATAGCTAAACCTAAGCCAAGAAAAAGATGTGACATATCAGGCATGTTGGCCAATTTATGGAGGTGACATTTGCAATTCCCTAGCAGAGCAATTCTATGGATGTAGCAATTCTTAAGCCTATGCTTTAACCACAAAACTTTCCCTACTGATGACCAGCAATGATTCTGCAGAGGAGACAAAATAGAGATGGGCATTCTCTAGAAAGTTCGCCCTTGCAAATTTCCTTCTCTTTTAAGCTAGTTATTCAAAACCTGTCCATAACATTACTAATTAAGTTGTTGGTTCGTGTTGAGCAATGCTTACCAGCTGCTTCAACAAAAATGGAAGGATATCTTCAAGAGCCTGATGCCCAATTGTTGAGTGCAACTGTTCAAATGTTTTGGCTGCAGCCTCTCTCACTTCTTCCAGAGGGTCACACAGTGCTTTTCTCACTGTAGGCACCAGGGACTCAGAGAAAACCAGAACCTAAAAAATAGAGATAAAATTACAGGTTATATAAAGCACAATGGACAGAAGCATCTCAGTAAAATAGCTACAAAACTGAATTTGGACAACAGAAACTAAACTGCTGTTTGTTTGTAATATACTGGAAGAAAAGAAGGATTGATTAAAGATTTGCACCGTTCTAAGACTACTTTGTAGATGCCTCCTATGGCTCGTAAACGTCAGAACTGTGCAATATTTTAAATGTACCGGTAGATGCAAATACATACATTTGCCTCAACAGCAACTCACATTAGATATGAGCCTTTAATTTAGTCCACAGAATAAGTCCAACACTGTTACTGTATTTTTGCATCTCAGCTGCAAGATTGTAACTTCAGCATCTAGGAAATGGCAGATTTCACCTTCCTTATTTAACTTATTAATTTATATTTAATAGTTAATATTAATTAATTAAATATAGTTATTTATTATACTAAATAATATAGTAAATAAATAGTTAATATTAATTAATTAATTAAAATAGTTAGTTAAATAATAATTTAACTTACCGCATCCCTGCTGGTAGACTTCATTATCTCACTCAGCCCAATGCAGACTCCTTGCCTTTCATCATTCTTGTCTGACCTTAGTCCATCCTCCAGAATGGGAATGATTTCAGGAAGGATCTTCTCTCCTAACTTTCGGACAAGGTCTCCTAATGTCCGTGCTGCAACCTGTTAATTAAACTTATTTAATTACGTTTTCTAAATGAGGAAAATAGTTAAGATGCTGAATTTTGAGCAAATGCTATTTTTTGACTATAAGCTACTTTTCCAAGTACAGACAAAAACGTAGCAATGGAAACACTACTCAAATAAGCAGCCGTGGAAAAACTGTTTTACTTCCACCACCACTGCCTTTCAGTGAAGAATTCAGATATGCTCTGACCAGTTAAATTCATTACAGCTTTAGAACAACTCGAAGAAAAGAATATCCTGTGTTCTTAATCATTTTACAAGGTTGCCTGCAGAAACAGGAAAGCATTACTGGATTTCTCACCGTTCGTTTATCTGCACAGGTACTGGCCAAGAATTTCAGCAGAAGCCCAAAGAGTGTTGGCAAAATTTCACGCAGCGTGCGAGGAGTGTTTGAAACAACAATCTTCCAAACGTGTAAAGAAGCCTGACGCACCACCAGCTGGGTGTC